AATGTTGGGGTCCCTGTCTCAGAGTTTTGTATACCACCTGCATTACTTAGCTGGGGCTCCCATAACAAAGTACTGTAGACTGAGTGGCTTAAACAACAGAAATTTATTTTCTCATGATCCTGGAGGCTTGGAGTCTGAGATCAATGTGTTGGCAGACTTGGTTTCTCCTGGGGCCTCTCTCCTTGGCTGGCTTCACTCTGTGTCTTCTCATGGTCTCTCCTCTATAAGATGAGGTCTCCTCCTCGTTTGATGAGGACACCAGTCCTATTGGATTAGGGCCCACCCTAATGACTTCCTTATGACCGAATCACCTCTTGAAATACCCCATCTCCAAATACAGATACATTCTGATGTACTGGGGGTTACTCTTCAACATATGAATTTTGGGGAGACATAATTCAGCCCACACCACCACCCAAAACTTGTAAAAAAGCACCTTGGGAACCTTCAGATTTTAAATTAAAAATCTACAAAACCTTAATATATGACAAACAAAATCAGGTCTTCAGAAGACCATTTTACTGAAGTTTTATTGCAGGCATTAAATGTAGCCAAAGGATGTCAAGCTAAAAGCATAACAGGTAGCCGGGCACGGTGGCTCATGCCTGTAATCCTAGCACTCTGGGAGGCGAAGGTGGGAGGATCGCTTGAGCTCAGGAGTTCAAGATCAGCCTCAGCAAGAGCAAGACCAGTCTATACTGAAAATAGAAAAATTAGCTGGGTGTTGTGGCGTGCACCTGTAGTCCCAGCTACTCAGGAGGCTGAGGCAAGAGGATTGCTTGAGCCCAGGAGTTTGAATTTGTTGCAGTGAGTGATAACACCACCGCACTCTAGCCAGGTTGAAAGAGTAAGACTCTGTCTCAAAAAAAAAAAAAAAAGCATAACAGTTGTCAGAGATGTTTGCAGTGTTTATTCAGTGGAGCCTCAGGGAATGGAACACTGAAGCTTGGGATATGTCAGGGGGAGGGATATAAAAGTTCTAATCACTAACAGTTCCTTTTTACCATTTAATAATTCAAAGTTACCTACAGATTATTAGTTTAGTTTCCTAGGTACCTTGATATCGAAGATTTCTTTTTAGTAGGAGACATGAGAATTCAGTCACTTGAAAGAGAAACATAAATTAATGCACTTGCATCCTGAGGGATATATATCAATCTCTTGCATGTTTTGTTTTCATTACATTGTCCACAGGCTCTCATGTGCTCTGAATGTATCAAATTGGGTTGTTAATTTGCAAACATATGAAGAATACAGTGATCACAAGATGTCATAACCTCGAGAAGCCTTATTTGGTCATTTTGATGCCTCCTATAATTGTGCCCTCAATTATAATGTGTTTATAAAGTTATGACTGACAGGAAGTTAGACTGAGTATAAGGAAATAAGGAAATGGCTTTTCGATGATATATTCTCTTTTCTTTTATTCTATAGCAACAAAATAATTTGGTCTGTTTCAGTGTTGAGCTGAAATGAACCAAAATTTTTATAGTAAGTACAATTGTGTTACTTCACAGTAGTACCACGAAATTTTAAGATATGCAAACTATCTCCTCATAAGCAACTTGTAACAGTGATAATTTGGAAAGCATAGGGAAAAACTGCGTTTCTAGGGTGGGCAAATAACTTGGGTTAGGAGTGTATGTGTTAGAAGGAAAGATTCATCTCAAAAAGACATAAATCTGCTAGTTTACTTACTGGGGAACAAACATCAAATTTAAATCAATATTCAAACCATAGGCTTGTTCAAGTTCAATGGTGTTTACAACTAATTGATCACAACCATTTACATGTGGCTTTTGTTCCTTCTCCACTCCCACTGCTTCACTTGACTAGCCTTAAAAAAAATTATTGATTCAGAATTGTCAGTTTCCCACAATCATTTTAAAATCATTTTTATTGGCTGTGTAATATTTCATTTTGTCTCTATACTCTAATTGACTAAGCATTCCAGAATGTTTGTTTCCTGATGAATCTCAAGGTTTTTTTTCCCACTGGATGGGAATTAGTTTTGATTTAGACAATGCTCCAGGTTTTTGCCCTATTTTAAAAGTAACTCCTATACATACATCATTCCTTCTCATAGGTGATAATTAGGTAGTTGTTTTGCTTAGTGCCACGTCATGATTTCCTCCTATCTACACGTGCCCTATCCATGGGACTAAGTACCCTCTAGCTAGATCTGTGCTTTCCAATATGGTAGCCACCTAAACATGAATCAATTAAAGTGAAATAAAATTAGAAATTATTTTCTTCAGTCGCACTAGCCCTATTTCAAGTGCAGAGCAGCCACACAGGGTTAGTGCTACTGAATTGGGCAGCACAAATATAGAACATTTCTGGGTTCCCAGAATGTTCTGTGGTGAGTGCTGCTCTGGACTATTTTTGACCCTGACCTCTTGGCCATGGCTGAATTAGATCCTGTGAGTTACTCCCAGATAAAATTAAGTCCTAGGGGGTAGGCCAATGAACTACATTCACGAGAATCATACATCCTAGATTATAAATTTCCTAATTTATAACTTGTAACATCTCTTCCAGTGACTGGAATGCTCCTGTTCACTATTTCCTGTATCAGTCTTCTTCGGAACACAAATTAGTGGTCTTCAGTTTCTTGGTGATGGTCACCTAACCCCAGCTGGGTCAATTAAATCCCTTCCTTCTTCCTTTAGGAAATTTGGAACTGGGAAGGAGAGGTTTTGTTCAGCTCCTCTGGCTGTCTAGAACTATAAAACCAAAAGTGATAGTTATATTCCACTACATAAAACTGAGGTGAGAAAACAACAGAAAGGAAAATCAGGCAGAGAAGCAGAGCCTAGGCTACCTCTTAGGTTGTCTATATTTTGGTTCAGGTCCCTCCCTTGGGTTCAGCTGCATTCCTGACTGTGGGTTACGTGAAAGACCTACATCCTGTAAGTAAATTTTCTTTTATGCTTACAGAAGCTTGAATTGGCTTGCTACGTTGGGAATCAGAATCCTAATATACTTACATGTATATACACATGTACACATAATAGATATATGTGTATGGACGCTTTCACATTCTGCTGGTGTGTGCAGTTGTGAGTAATCTTTGTATTTAGCCATTGCACTGGGCTCCCAGATTCCCCCTCTATCCTTTCTCTACTTTCCCTCTTGCCTTATTTCTTTTTCATTTTAAGACAGCATTTTGGGTGCCTCTGCCTTTGTCCCTCCTGAACAAAATATGACCTCTATCTTTCTGGGAGTGAAAGCTTCATTAAATCAAATAGAGTAACATGCTAACAACTGATTTTATTCTTTAGCATTTATTTCATTTTAATCTCTCAGGCCCAAGTAATTTAGTCAACGTTCATTTCGTGTATCACTGAAAAATCTCTCCTAGGCCAAAACAGTGACCTCTGGTTGTAAGAACCTGAGATGCATAGAATGGAGTGCAGTACTTAACTCAAGTCACAGCATGTTCCTTTAGAATGCGTGATTAGGAGAGACCTCTTGCAGGACTAAAGGATGAGGAGTCAGCTATAGAAAGAATGAGCAGCACCAACCCAACTAAGGAGAAAGGCATATATATATAAATGTCCTAGGTAGGAAAACGCTGCGTGTTGTCAAGTAACACAAAGGCCAGTGTGGCCCCAGTGACAAAAGCAAGGGAAAGTAATGTGAAACAAGGCAGGCAGGGAGGAGTTATGATAGTATCTTGGCAAGCAATGGGAAAGTATTACAGGGATTTAAGCAAGGGAGTGATCTGATTTGTCTAAGGAAAAAATATCCCTCTGGCTACTGTCTGGAGAATAAATTGTAGGAAGATAAGCAGGAGACCAGTTAGGAGGCTGCTGCAAGTGTTGGCGAAAGATAATCATGGCTAGGCCTGAGAATTGGAGGCAATGGAGATGGAGAACTTAGCATTTGAGATTTTGAAGGTAAAAATGTGAGTGCTTACTGATGAAGTTATCCCTTTACCTTCTAAATAGCCAGCCCATACATTAAAGCTGTCAATGAAGTAGAATTTAAGACCCAAGAATGTCAGGAAGGGTCTTACTCTGAGTTTCATGTGGCTCTGGGCTCAGCTCTTAAGAACTACCTTGATTCCAACAATCCCCCAAATCTGCTGTCACTTTTTTCTTTTCCTTTTGAGTGAACCTGGGAAAAGTGATTGCTGAAAAATAACTTTCAGCAATAAAGCAGCAGTGTTTGGATCCAAGAAACACTCTTAACTTTTTTTTCTTTTAAAGAGACACGGTTCCATCTAAGAAATACTGCATTCGCTCTCTTGCTCTAAATAATCTAGTGCAAAATTCCTTCAGAATAATTCACCTTCCGTAACGGATGGGTTGCCTTTCACCTACTCCAATGTTGTGCATTCTGGGCTCCCCTTCCCGCCGTGCAGACAAACGCACTCATTGTCTGCGCGACCCCATCCCGGGATTGCAGGCGGCATTTCTTGCGCCGCGCTGCTGCATGCGGGCTTCCCTTCTCTGCCTGCCTCCGTCTGCCCCCGAGGCTTCGGTTTGTTTCCTTCTGTGCTGTTAAAACGCTAGGGCGCATTGTTACCGCACAGATGAATGCCTAGGAATTTTGTGGGTTTTTTGGCTGTTTGTTAACCTTTAGGCCACTGTCCAGTAAAGTTGTGAAAAGCAATTAAACCCAGCTCGTGCAAAAAGACCAATCCACAGGGAAACAACGGAAACGGGGACACATTTCCTAACTTGCCGCTTTGTGGGCACACTTAAGTTTCTCTAAGAGAGACATTATGGAGCGGCCTCCCAGCCACGCCGGTGGACCACACCGCAGCGGGGGCTCCAGCGTCTGCGGGGCACGGGAAGGGAGCACCGCGCGGGCGGCCCCGGGACCCACCGAGCCGAGCAAAGCGGGGCCTCCGGGCGGCGACGCTCTGGCCCGAGCTCGCTCGATGGTTTCCGCGCGGCCGCCGGGGCCCGCGAGGTCCAGTCGCCAGGGGGCGCGCTGACCGGCGCCGCGGATCTCCGAGCTGCGCGGCCCTACTCGTGTCCGCCATATTGGATGCCGCAGCCGCTGCTGCCAGCGCTTCCTCCTCTGTCTTCGCCGTACGCTGCTGGTTCCTGCGGCCCGAGCGGTGGGGAGGTGAAACAGGAGTCTGTCGGAGGAAGAGGAAGAAGGGGGGTGGAGAGTGTAGGGGACGGGGCTAGAGGGTAGGGGACCGAGACCGAGTGGGGCGGAGAAGAGAAGGCGCCGGGCCCGGCCCCTCCCCCGCCCGCTGCCCACCCTCCCCGGCTGCGCCTCTGTTCCCCAGAACGGCGCTCCGCCCGCCCTAGCGGCCATGCCGGGGCCTCGCTGCCCCTGAGGGAGCCCTTCCCGCCAGTGCTGGCTCTTCCACTCCCGCCCCGGGGTCGCAGCGGGCCGCCCTCCCGCCGGCGCCCCCTCCTCGCGGCCACGCCGCCGCCCCCATCTCGCTCTCCCCACCCAGTGCAGTGGCCGCCGCCTCTTCCGCCGCCGGGCTCGGGACCTCCGCAGCGACAACATGGAGGCCGTGAAAACCTTCAATAGCGAGGTTGGTATCACAACCTGGCCTCCGCTCTGCCCCCACCCCGGGACAAGGCCCGAGCGAGGAGGGTGGGCGCGGACCTGCAGGCTTTTCAAGGGTGGGGCGAGCGGCGGCCTAGCCGTGCCCGTGGGGGAGGGGTGTTTCTCTTCCCGGGCGCCCCTCCCCCGAGTCCGGGAGGAGGGTTGGGGGAGGGCCGCCCTGGGGCGGAGGGAGGTTCTGGCATCTCGGCGCCCTATGGAATGGCTGCGGGTTGGGAGGGAAGGCTCGGCTGGGCCCTCCCCAGGAGACTCCCGGCTGGTCTCCCGGGGTCAGTTCCGCCGGGCCTTGGCCCGCCCACCTCCTTTCTGGGCCTTCGAGATTTCAGATGGACAGTGGACATCACTCCAGACCTCCCTGGGCCCTTAATGAGACAGGCACCGATTGGGGACAGTGGCGGAGAAAGAACCTACGGGGTGGTGATCTGTAGTCACGTTACACGCAGTGTTTATAATTGAGATATTGTTGACTAGGTAACCTGCCAGCTAGGGACTTAAGCTAATTGGATGGTTGGTAAGAGGCAAGGTTATTCTGCGATTTCCTCTATTTTTATTTGCCTCACTTCTCCATCACGACATAAAGACACAAACGGTAGGGAGAGATCTGTCCATGGAGAGAGGGAAGATTCTGGGGGAAACATTTCTCACAGGCTCATTCACGTGTCTACCATGAGATTTTAAAAAAACAGGTGTCCAGCTTTTGCTGTTTAATTGAATTGATTAGTTTGGAGGAAGACAGGTTACTATAAAATATATTTGTTTTTTAAAAAAATTCTGACTTCAGTAAACCTAATGCAAACATTAAACATAGCAAATACATACCTGTAGAACCAGCATTAGTATCCTTAACTGTACACCTTAGAAAAAATACTTAAATGTGATGGTAACTAAATTAACATAAATTTTACGTACCTTTGATTTGGAAGCTCTAACGCTTTATTCGATAGTATGATTGTTAAATAATATCTTTGATATTCACCTCTTAAAATACCAGACTTTTTGCTGTAACAGCCCAAATAGGACGATACTTCTACATGTTCTATAATTTCATCTTCTTTTTTTTTTCTTTTTTAAGAATTACCAGTTTGAAGCTTAGCAAAGAGTCTAAAAGGTAGATAACATTCAAATGAATTGGGCTTTCTATATTAGATAGTGAGGCAGTATAAACTTTTCTAGGAAAGGATTTTCTTTTTTCAGTGCTAGATTTTTTTCTTTTTCTTTCTTTTCCTTTAAACTTCATAAATAATTAGCAGTAGCCTTGGGAATCTTCATTTTATTTATGAATTTATAGCAGATAATTTGGGGCAGATATCTCCATTTATAAAATTTGGTTCTACTACGCAGTACTCCATTGCTTAATATATGAAATAAAAAGTATTTAGTGTTACTATATATTTCAGTTTATTGTTAATAGTTCAAAGTTTAACAACTGCAGGGAAAAAATCTGGCTTTTTTTTGGCTACACATAGTGCTGTAGCACTAATATGTTAAGGTTTTTGAAATTATTTTTAAAAATCCTTTCTCTTCCATTGCAATTATTGGATTTAACACCCCGTTTTGATGGGTATGGATCCTCTTTGTTTAGGATGTTCTTAGCATGTGGACCCCACCCCCACTACCCAGGACGTTTTAAATTGGAGTCTTCCAATAGTAGATGTAAACAAGTGGTTGGTGCACTGTGGTTCACAGTAGAGCACAGTGGAGCAGAAATGTTACTGTCAGTTTTTCATTTTAGTATTGATTAAGGATAAGGGGCCTAATATTTACATGCCTGAATATGCCTAGCTAGGTGTTTCACCTCTTTTCTCATTCTTTACAGGAACTTGAGATTTCTGGTAGTCCCATTTTAGCATATGTAGCACTGTCCCCTTTCTTGCCCTATGGAATTCAAAAAACTTAAAAATCTTTTAACTTCTTTATTTACTGGTATGCTCTATTTTCACCATGTTTGAAGTGGGGTTAGCTTAAACATGGCAGTACAGAGTGGAGAGTTGAGGAAGGGAAATACATTTGAAGAACATTTGGAAAATATACACTTTTTGTTGTTAAAACACAAAAATACATAACCTTTTTTTTATTTTGGATATAGTTTCTGTGACAGAGTACTTGCTGTTACAGTAAATGTTATTGCAAGTAAGCATATACTGGGAAGTAGTTCAATAATGACTATTTTCCATTAAATCGTGTTGCAAAGTACAAAAATAAAAAAGAATTCGAGTTATAGGATGAGGAGAAAAGGGTGTTATAGAATGCTTGCTTACAGTGAATTTGGCTTTTAAAGGCATTTATCATTGGGGCTTACTCCATCACAACCTTTTCTGCTAAATTTAAAGGTATCTTTGAAGCCCTTAATTGTTAAGAAATTCCATTTGTTTTGTACGACACATCAAAGTTTAATTGTAATCATTAATGTTTGCCAACAAGATATTTTGATACTTTGAAATGTTTAAAGTGTGAAATGTTTAGCTTTTATGGCTTGCCAACTCTCAGGTTTTTAAAGACTGAACTCTTCCACCCCCGTTTTTAATTTTGCAGAGAACATTGACTTAAAGACAGGAATGTGCCAGAGATTTTAAAATTAAGAACATAGGTTTTGCTGGGTGTGCACTGGAGACAGGAGGATCACTTGAGCACAGGAGTTTGGGGTTGCAGTGGGCTATGATAGCCTGGGCAAAGTAGTGAAACTCTGTCTCTTAAAAAAAAAAAAAACAAACCCAAAAAACCCCGAGATGCAGATTTTTAATCTGCAAACTCCGAATGAGTTTCAGTCTGTGAAAATCCCTGACTTTGTGCAGGTTGTATATGAGTGGTCTTTGTCATGTCTCCCTCCCATCATAATTTCTCTAATGGGTTTTGTGACCTCTCGTTTTAAAAATTACTATGTCGGAAGATCCTTTAATTGTGCAGGAATTATGTGGTAAATTCCTCTTACTTATCATAAGTTAAATGAGATTTAGGCTGGAGTTTTTTTTAAGTGCCCACTGTGCTAATTTTGTGGGAAAACCGTAACTTCCATTTAAGCATCATCACTGTGATGAAAGTTTAATACCATGACTACTATAGTCAATTTTGAAATGGTGGAAGATTCAAGTTTGTTCAGATTGGAATATAAGACTCCCTAAGAGTCAGTGCTTGACCTGGGCAGTTAAGCATAGAATTATCATTGCTAGCTATTATCAAGATAGTGGCATTTACTTGTTATAATGATTTAGAGTTCTCACCTAGTGAAAAGGATCTCATATTGGACTGCTTAAGTCCGTGGACCAGTTTACGACTGCATTGATTGCTGGAATGCAGCAGTTTTATGTGAGCCGCATGTCTATATTCTGTACTTAAGAATGATTACTATAAGGAGGTCATTCTGGTAGGGTGTCTCTCTCTTTTTCTTTCTTTGTATTTAATTTTTTTGAAAAGGGATTGAGGGAGAGGATGGCAACGTATGACTCTTTCCTCAGAAAATTTCAACTTAATTGGAGAGGGCATTTTAAAACATAGCAGCTTTTAAAGAAATATTAATATATGAAAAATACAAGAACCTGTTTGCATCAGTTATGTTTAGATGAAGTAATTGGAGGAGGTGAGTTTTACTTGTTTATTGGTTTCTTTTAATTTTTAAGGACTTTAAAAAAAAAAACAAACATCGCCCAATACTGTTATCACACTTCAGAAAAGCGAACACTAAATTTTTGACATAATCAAATACCAATCAGTGATCAATTTTTTTTTTAGTTCCTTTGTATAGCTAGTGGCATTACTATAGCTTTTCCCCTCATGATGCATTTCTCTTGCTACTCTGAATAGGCTGAGTGGGAAGGTGTAGGATCGGATATGTAGGTTTGAGATGTGTCAGGAAGATGATTTCAATTTAATTTTTGGATTTACCTTGGTTCATAAATTCTGAGTGCATTCTATTACCTTCTACTATCTTTAGCATACCTAAACCCTTAGATCCTTTAATTAGGTAGCTTACTTTTTAAACTGTTCAGGATGTAGACTTTCCTGAATCACTTTAGCATCCAGTACGTTTTCCTGTTTTACGAAGTGAAATCCCATCTCCCTTTTACTTTATTTCTAATTTTGTATCCAAAGTGGGCATTTTGTCTAGCTGTAGGACTTTTTATAGTCTTTCCACCAATAGTAGACATGGGTTGTAGAGAAAATGGAAAAGGTAGAAGGAATAATAAAAGTATGTGAAATTTGTTTTTAGTTTGTATATTTTCCCTTTGTCTATGGTTCAGGAAAGGGAATTTATGTGAAATAGCTATGAAACATTGCATTTGTCTTTCTTTTTCATCTACCAGGGAGTCTGGCTCCATTTTCTTTGCTGTTTTCATTTTCTAGTGGGAGTTCTAGTTAATTTTTATCAGTCAGGCCATATTTTTTGTTTCTACCTTGTGAAATCCTTTAAAGATGTAGCATACTTAACTTTATAAAGGAAGGAAGTCTTCACTAATCCCCCCTGCCCCAGTGGTTTAGATCAGGGTTTCTCAGCCTTGGCACTATTGATATTTTGGGCTTGATAATTATTTGCTTGAGTAGTGGTTCTGTGCATTGCAGGATGTTTAACAGCATCCATGGCTTCAACCCACTAGATGCTAGTAGCACCCTCCCCAATGTGACAACCAGAAATGGTAATGTCTCCAGACATTACCAGATACCCCTGGGGGGCAAAATGACCTTGATTGAGAACCAGTGATTTAGGTCCCCTGTTAATTTGTCTTAAAACATTCCTTACTTTTTTTCTAGCAATTACTACAATTTTAAGTAATTAGTATTTACCACCAGACTGTAAACTCTATGAGGACAGCGACCATGTGTCCTCATGGGTTCATATCCTCGATATGTAGTACAGTATCTTAACATATAGTTCATATTCTAAATAAGGATTTCTTGAATGAATGGATGGATGATATACTAGGTAACTGGGACCTTGGCCAAGGTAGTTAACATTTCTGGACATTTGGTTTTAAA